AAAAAAGTAAAAAGAAGGAAAAAAGTAAAAAAAAAAAAAAGTCAAATTAGCTACTTTGTGATGAGTGTTATGGGACATATTCAAAGTTAAAGGCTCATTTCTTCATAATTGTGGAAAATACTACATTATTTGTAGAAATAAGTATAAAGTCTTCATAGGTACCGTTCAAAAATTAAAAGATATACAACAAGAAACATCTTTAATGTTTATAACGAGGGATTGTTATAATTGACTTCATACCTCTTTTCCCATGTTTGAAGAAAATTAACTCATGTTTTCCTGTATGTGTCTTCTTGATTTTCCTATAGAGGGAGCTTTGTGTAGAATGGGAAAGATTGGTTAATGGTAGTGTATCCAACAGTCTTCTCTAATTTTACTGTTTTTGGCCAAAAAAAGTTTGTCATTGTTCCATAGCAAATTTAGCAACCTAAAACTAAACATTATCTCACAGTGTTTCTGAGGGTCAGGAATCTGGGAGTGGCTGAGGTTCTCTCATGAAGTTGTAGTTAAGATACAGAGGGGGCTGAAGAATTTGCTTGGTAGCTCACTCATGGGGCTGCTGGCAGGAGGCTTCAGTTCTTTTCCAGGAGATCCTCTCCATGGGCTTGTTCATGAGTGAGTGATCTAAGAGTGAGAGAGCATGCCCAAGAAAGAAGCCACAGTCAGTGTGTTTTATAACTCAATATCAGAAGGTGACATTATCATCTTTACCGTATTCTGTAGGTTACATATTCTGCTGGTATAGTGTGGGAGGGCCCTACATAGGGTGTACACCCTATCATATAGGGTGTGAATACCAGGAAGAAAGGGTAATTGGGGCCATCTTAGAGGCTGGCTTCCGTAGCAGGCAAATTGGATTTCTACCATTAGATGCCATTGGTGTGAGTATTTGTTGCATTTTCTGTTATCTTAACCCTCTTCCTTTTTCTTAGCTGGAAATGTGTGGATGTTCATGTTTTAATAACTCCAAATATAAAGTATCAGAAACAAATTTATACATGAGTAGTATGCCACAGAACAGTGAAGTGAAGTATTAACGCAGTAAAACAAATGTAAGAGTGAGGGCCGGGCACAGTGGCTTATGCCTGTAATCCTAGCACTTTGGGAGGCTGAGACAGGTAGATTATTTGAAGTCAGGAGTTTGAGACCAGGCTAGCCCACATGTTGAAACCCTGTCTCTATTAAAATACAAAAATTAACCAGGTGTGGTGGCATGCGCCTGTAATCCCAGCTACTCAGGAGGCTGAGGCAGGAGAATTGCTTGAACCTGTGAGGCTAAGGTTGCAGTGAGCTAAGATTGCACCACTGCACTCCAGCCTGGGCAACAGAGTGAGACTCCATCTTAAAAAAGAAAAAAAAAGAGGCCGGGCGCGGTGGCTCAAGCCTGTAATCCCAGCACTTTGGGAGGCCGAGGCGGGTGGATCACGAGGTCAAGAGATCGAGACCATCCTGGTCAACATGGTGAAACCCTGTCTCTACTAAAAATACAAAAAAAAAATTAGCTGGGCATGGTGGCGCGTGACTGTAATCCCAGCTACTCAGGAGGCTGAGGCAGGAGAATTGCCTGAACCTAGGAGGCGGAGGTTGCAGTGAGCTAAGATTGCACCACTGCACTCCAGCCTGGGCAACAGAGTGAGACTCCATCTTAAAAAGAAAAAAAAAGAGGCCGGGCGCGGTGGCTCAAGCCTGTAATCCCAGCACTTTGGGAGACTAAGGCAGGCAGATCACTTGAGACCAAGAGTTTGAGACCAGCCTGGGCAACATAGGGAGACCCCATCTTTACAAAAAAATGTAAAAATTAGTTGGGCATGGTGGCTCATAGTCCTTGTTACTTGGGAGGCTGAGGCGGGAGGATTGCTTGAGCCCAGGAGTTCGAAGTTGCAGTGAGCTGTGATTCTGCCATTGCCCTCCAGCTTTGGCAACAGGGCAAGACCGTGTTTCAAAAAAAAAAAAAGTAATAATAATAATAATTATAATTCCCGTTTCAAGAACATCTTAACATTTGATACACACACACACACACACACACACACACACAGAGAGAGAGAGAGAGAGAGAGAGAGAGAGAGAGAGATATTTTTTTTTGAGACAGAATCTAGCTCTGTTGCCCAGGCTGGAGGGCAGTGGCATGATCTCAGCTCACTGCAACCTCTACCTCCTGAGTTCAAGTGATTCTTCTGCCTCTGCCTCCCAAGTAGCTGGGACTACAGGCGCCCATCACCATGCCCAGCTAATTTTTGTAGGTTTAGTAGAGACAGGGTTACACTATGTTGGCCAAGCTGATCTTGAACTCCTGACCTTGTGATCCACCCGCCTTGGCCTCTCGAAATGCTGTGATTACAGGCATGAGCCACTGCACTCGGCCGAGATATATATATGTGTGTGTGTGTGTGTGTGTGTGTGTGTGTGTGTGTGTGTGTGTGTGTGTATTTTAAGATGTGTGTGTTTTCATATGTGTGTACATATGTATATATGTGTGCTTGTATGTGTATTTTATTATTACTTTTTGTAAATTTGATACCTTGTGTGAGGTTGGGTTTTTTTTTAGAGTCACCAAGTTGTAAGATAACTGCCTAGTGCAGTCAGATTTCCTTTGATTCTTTAAATTGTTTTTCACTGATTGGGACCTGAGCCTTTGGGGTCTCAAAAGTAAAGAGTTTGTATTTTAGTTCTTTTTTCTTTTCTTGAGGTACTGAAGTCCAGGGTCTAGTTTAAAGAAGGGCAAAGAGGGGTCAGGTGCAGTGGCTCACGCCTGTAATCCCAACACTTTGGGAGGCTACGGCAGGTGGATCAACTGAGGTCAAGAGTTTGAGACCAGCCTGGTCAACATGGTTGAAACCCCTTCTCTATTAAAAATTCAAAAATTAGCTGGGTCTGGTGGCATGTGCCTGTAGTCTCAGCTACTTGGGTTGCTGAGGTGGGAAGATCACTTGAATGTGGGAGGCGGGGGTTGCAGTAAGCCAAGGTCGTACCACTGCACTCCAGCCTGGGCGACAAGAGCAAAACTCCATCTCAAAAAAGAACAGGAAAGAAAAAGAACTAATGAAGGGCAAGAGGAAGAGACTAGAGTTGTTGGCCTTATGTGATTGAATTTGAATAAGACAAATATACGCTTGTTATTTTGCCGTTAATTTTTATTGTTTTATGTATTGCCTTATTTCATTTAATAATATATCAGGAGCCCTTTTACATCACTAAATATTATTTGATTTTATGCTCTCTAATAGCTATATAGTCTAATGGAGGACTATACTGTGAGATACTTGATTAGTCTCCATGCGGAGGGCATTAGATGCTTTCTAGTTTTCAAATTACAAGTAAAAATATGATGAATATCCTCTTGAAAAAAATCTGTTCTCATATCAGTGTTTCTGTAGAAACATTTTCTAGAAAAAAGTTAATCAAATGATGTGTCTTTGTCCATTTTGTGTTACTTTATCAGAATACAACAGACTGGATAATTTATAAAGAAATTTATATCTCACAGTTCTGGAGACAGCAAAGTCCAGTATCAAGGTGCCAGCAGTCTGGCAAGAACGATCTTGCTGCTTCATCCCATAATGGAAGGCAAAAGAGCCAGAAAGCCCAAGAGAGCAAAAGGGGGCTGAACCTACATTGTTAGCAAGCACACTAACACTGTAACTAACCCATTCCCCAGATAACAACACTCATTCATTCATGAGGGCAGAGTCCTCATGACCCAGTCACCTCTTATTAGGCTTGCCTCCCAACACTGTTGCATTGGTGATTGAGTTTCCAGCACATGGACTTTGGGGAATACGTTCAAGCAGTAGCTTGATGTGAACATTTTCTTAGTATCCTGAATTTTATTGCCACATTGCTTTTCAGAATGATTATGCCTGTTTGTGCTTCTACTTCTGGTAGGAAGTAGGAATCTCTTTGATAGTACTCTAGACATTATAGTTATTAACATTTAGGTTTTTATGTAAATGAACAAGAATAAAGCATGTGGTGTTCAAGTGATAATTTTAGTTGAATTTAAGGAATTTCGATCGAGCGTGCTGTGGTATAGTATCTTTTACATAAAGTATAGCAAGATTTCAGACTAATGCAAATTAAATAGGCTCTGATCTTAACCAAATAATCTATTTTTAGAAACCCCAAAATATTTTTGTAAATTGCTGCTGTACAAATATCAGTTGGCTTTAAGTCACAACTTAGGGCTCTGATGCTAAAATTACTATTATAGTCTTGTATTAATGTGGATTAAGTTGAAGTTAAATTGTACTTATACAACTTGAAGTTAGCTAATTCCTGATTCTTTTGATAATGAAAGGGAACAAGCATGGTGCAGCAGCTCATGCCTGAATGCCACCACTTGGGGAGGCTGATGTGGGAGGATCACTTGAGCTCAGGAGCTGGAGACCAGCCTGGGTAACATAGCGATACTTTTTCTCTACTAAAAAAAAAGAAGAAAAATAGCCCAATGTAGTGGCATACACCTGTAGTCGCAGCTACTTGGGAAGCTGAAGCTGGAGGATTGTTTGAGTCTGGAAGCTCGAGGTTATAGTGAGCTATAATCACACCACTGTACTCCAGCCTGGGCAAGAAAGCAAGACTCTGTCTCAAAAAAGAAAGGGAGGCTGCGTGCAGTGGCTCACGCCTGTAGTCCCAGCACTTTGGGAGGCTGAGGCAGGTGGATCACCTGAGGTCAGGGGTTTGAGACCAGCCTGGCTAACATGGTGAAACCCTGTTTCTACAAAAAATACAAAAAATTAGCTGGATGTGGTGGCGTGTGCCTGTAATCCCAGCTACTCGGAAGGCTGAGGCAGGAGAATTGCTTGAATCCAGGAGGTGGAGTTTGCAGTGAGCCGAAATTGTGCCATCGTACTCCAGCTTGGGCAACAAGAACAAAACTACATCTCAAAAAAAAAAAAAAAAAGGGAATAGTGATAGGATGCAAAAAGTACTTGACAATTAAAATTTGATATTCAGTAATACTTAAAGTGAGCTCTTGGCTGCTTGAGATTGGATGTGAATCAAATTACATACAATATCATAGTTAAATCTATATTTTTGTTATTTAAATCTTAGGGATGTTATATTCTAATTCGAGAGTTGCTCTTAACTTTGTACTTACTATGTTATTTGTTTTAATTTAGGAAGTGTTTGTTACAAAGACTGATGGTTCAAATTTGTTTCATTCACAGAGAGACATCTCCGCATACATTTCAATTAGACTTATTCTTCAACAATGTAAGCAAACCAAGTGCCCCAGTTTTTGATAGATTGGGAAGGTATGTACCTGCTAGGCAATTTCACAAGAAACTCATGAGTGTTAGTAAGCAATATTTTTTGATTCTTTAGATAGAAGAAACAGATGTATCTGTTTTAGACCCAATACCACAGGGTTTAATTGTATCAAGGAAGTATTAAAGAAATGTCAAACTCCTAAGGAGATGTTGAGTTTATAAAATAAAAATTTAAATGTGTGAAACAGCCATTGTTTGTTATCTTTTTACTTGTACATGCATTTCTTATATACATGATACTTTCACACATGATAGTAACCTTCTAATTTGGAAAATACTGCATTTTGATTCTTAAAAAATATTATGTAGACACACTGAGAGCTAATTTATGTGTGTCTTTCATATCACAGTACTGTGCAATTTATAATTCCATAGCCACATTTTGTAAAATGAAACTTTTGTTAGTAGATGCCCCCTTTTTTGATTATTTATACATGCTAGGTTTTTTTTTTTCAAGTTAGGTATTATTAAACCTGTTGTTATGATGTCTGCAAACAAATGATCATTTGATGGATTTACTTAGAACTCATAAAATAAAAAAAATTAAAGGCAGCTTAAAAATGGGAAAATGTCTGTTCCTATCAGGAATTAGCAGTTTCTTAGACATCACTCATTCTGTTATTGACCCTTCTCTTATTTATCATTAAATTATGTCAACAATTTAACTTTTTTTTTAATGAAGGGAAACCTTAGACAATTTGAAACATGTAATTTTTAGTATTTGGAGGTGTTTTTATGTCAGTACCTACTTAAAACTAGGTGCTTTTCTTAAATTTTGGTTGTACTCTACATTTTTGTATGACTGTCATGCGATGGTTCTGTACTCTGGCTGTACATTAGAATTACCTGGTATACTTTTAAAAAATTACTGATGTCCATACTCACCCCAAAGCAATTAATTCAGAATCTGGGATTTATGTATTTTTTTTCTTTATCACATTTTGGGGACAGTACATTAAACTCAACCTTTGTGGTATATTGAATGAAAACAAAAATATAGCATTTGATTATATTGAAATATTTGAATCTAGAAAGACATTTTCATGAACTCTGAAGTTCAGTGTTTAAGCTTATATATTTATTTCTACTCTCTTGACAGTCTGGAATATGATGAGAATACGTCCATCATCTTTAGACCAAACTCAAAGGTAATTGTGGAAGTCAGTTTTCAACTCGTCATTACTGTTTCTTCTCAACTCCATTTAAAGTTTTTGATCCATATAAATCAGTGTTGCAGAATGTCATTTTTTATCTGATTCTTCCTGCATCTAGATGCTATTTTATAATGCAGTAAAGACATTGTAATGTTGTTCTCTACCTATAAAGCTCTTTCTTCCTCTTTTTGAGTCAAGAAGAGGCCAGCATTTGTGCTTTATCTTCTTTCATTTAGATAGGCAAGTTCAGAAGACAACTGACAGGCAAATTGTTATTAGACACTACTGTGCCTTAATTAAAGTTTCTTTTGAAAGTGCATGTTTCATGGCCAGGCCTGTAATCCCAGCACCTTGGGAGGCCTAGGCAGGTGGATCATGAGGCCAGGAATTTGAGACCAGCCTGACCAACGTGGTTGAAATCCCATCTGTACTAAATATAAAAATTAGCCAGATACTGTATTGTGTTGCGCACCTGTAATCCCAGCTACTTAGGAGACTGAGGCAGGAGAATCACTTGAACCCAGGAGGTAGAGATTGCAGTGAGCCGACAGCACGACAGTGCACTCCTGCCTGGGTGACAGAACAAGACTCCATCTCAA